CTCTGCTTACTATTGTACTCTATGACGTGTGAATTCAGGGGTATTATTATTTTTTAATAATATCGCTTCTTTGGACAGACCCTCCATTTATCTTCTCGAGCTCGAGTATCTAAGATTATAAAAAATCGCAATTAATGGTGCAGTAGCCCTTAGCGTGGCGGAAATTAATCTGCACGGAGAACTGGAGCGGCCGGGACGACCCAGTTACGCCGCACTTAGTACTTCCAAAGCCGTGAATTTTAATAAATCGTCTGGAATGCACCGATATTTCAAGCGACTTCAAAATTAAATATCAGTATATCCATTCTGTATGAGTATTAATTACGGTTTTGTAAGTAAATAAATATAAATCTACACAAAAATAATATATTAAGCGATTGTTTCTAAATCAAACACAGTAAAAATAGTTTTTAACTAAATACTCGTATTTTATCATAGGAAAGTGTAGTGGTTATCACCTCACCACTGTAGCTTATATGATGTGATGAGGTGTCGCTACATAATACATTGTTTATCTATACATCTATACATATAAATAAAATTGGTGTCTGTTTGTAATATTGAAATAACCGTTTTTTACTATATGCATATTAATATATTTACATTATTGTAGTTAAAAACGGTTATTTAACGATACCTACACCAAAAAACATTTTTTACAATTTTTGTCTGTTTGTTCCGGCTAATCTCTGAAATGGCTGGACCGATTTTGACAGAACTTTTATAAATTAGAAATATTACAAATGTAGCCAAACAAAATGTAACAAAAGTATTACGGTCTTCTTTCAAAAAAATATTTCAAAATGATTTAGTCTGTTTGTCCTTACTCATTTTGAAATGCATGCATAATATACATAGGAACCAGACCAGATAATAAAACATATTCATGAATACAAATATTGCGAGGAACCGAACCCGCTACCGCGGGAGGTAATGCGACCAGATAAACCGCTAGACCACCGTGGACGCCGATAGTGAAAGTCATGATTGGTCCAGCTAAATAGCAGACGTAGACGATTTTCAACTTTTTTTAAAATATTATTGAATTTTGAAATGTGTTCTTTAAACTTTTTTTTAATAATGAACGCATATTGTTTCAGGTAAATGACCCATGCTTCACGGCTATATTATATTCACAGACATGGCAGTGGTAACCTGCTGGTAAGTGGCAAAACAACGTATGTATACTGTGAGCCGTAGCTCAGACTAATTTCTTAAGGAGCTTTAACTTTATTACCTAAAATTGTTACAGATTTTAATATGATCATATTTAGTACTAGCTGTTCTCGCGGTTCATCATCATCATCATCATCATCAACGCAGCCCGGAAGACGTCCACTGCTGGACATAGGCCTCCCCCAAAGATCTCCACGACGATCGGTCCTGCGCTGCTCGCATCCAATGCCTTCCAGCGATCTTGACCAGATCGTCGGTCCACCTTGCTGGAGGCCTTCCCACGCTGCGTCTTCCGGTCCGTGGTCGCCACTCGAGGACTTTACTGCCCCAACGGCCATCTGTCCTACGAGCTATGTGCCCTGCCCATTGCCACTTCAAAGTCGCAATTCTTCGGGCTTAAATTTCAATATATGTTATAATATAGCTTATGTGTTATTCTGTTACATAAGCTATATTACTGTAAAGTTTCATCAATATCCGTTCCGTAGTTTTTGCGTGAAAGAGTAACAAACATCCACAAACTTTCGCGTTTTCGTGGTGTACCCATAACACAAGCTTTGCTTAACTTAATACTAGATGTCGCTGTGTGAATTATCCTGGGCTATTATTATAAAAAAATAGCAAAATTAGCAAATTTATGAGCACTCAGATGAAGCCAGGCTTAGATACTAGTTGTAGGACAAAATCGCATACATGATAGCATATCGAGTTGACCCAAATACAAGTATATAGTACGTACTAAGCAATATGAACTGTATCCTTATAGCAATAGGAGTTATAATCGAATGTATTAGTTAATTAACTGCATAGACCGTACTAGACAATTTGAACCATATGTATATAGTTTTAAGTGTTAGAATTGAATGTATAAGTTGATTGACTAACGTCATCGGAGGAACAGTAATTGGTCAAACTATATCGTTGTTATTGTATTCAATGTTAATTAGTATATTGTTTGGTATGTATCGACAGGTGGTTTAGTGGTAAGGGTGGTTGAAATTCACATACTTGTATATTTTTCGGACTACTCTAATGCTGTTGGCCGTAGCTGGCCTTTACCGGATACCCGCAGAAGGACTTATAGAGTGGCTGAAGGCCAATTCCCGCCTGACGGATACGACTTTAGTCTGAGAGCACCGCTTGGGGTTCGAACGTCGGCTCTGGTCGTAATTTCGATCCCCGTTTGAATTGGACGGGGGATCGATCGGAGAGGTCACATATTTGTAGTAGGTTCAATCTACAATTTTGAGATCTGCAATCGGATTTTTGCGTTAAAATGAAATGAAATGATTTAGCACAGTCGGGTAGACCATTCCATTTTCATATTTTAAAAAAACCAAAAGCCCAAATTAAGATATAACGACGGCCTGAGCCGAGCCTCAAACCCCTAGCGGTGCTCTCACACTAAAGTTGTATCCAGGAAGGAATTGGCCGCTTCATATGACTTAGCACAAGCGGGTATTAAAAAAATCATTGCCTTGCCTTAATACCATTATTTGTGGTCGGCGCAGTATGTCCTCTTTTTCCGCTATCCCTATCGGCCGACATATCTGAGCATATTCCCCTTTTATTCATATCATGTTTCACACAATCCATCCATTTTTTTTTTGGTCGTCCTCTCCCTTTCGTTCCATCCACTTTCATATTATATATATTTTTAAGACTAAAAATAATATAATACATATATATATGTATCGTTGTCTCTATTCTTATCTTTACCTTCGCTAACTGGTGCAATTGAGACCTTTTTATGTTTAACATGATATTAAATCTCGTTTTCTTTATGGCGACATCCTTTTAACCTATGTATTATTTCTGTTAAGTGTAGTCCTAAGTTTTTTTTTATTTTTTTTATAATATATATTTTATTCTTTTCACACTAGTTATTCATATTACTTATTGTTCTGAGGTCGGAGAGTAATGAAAATTGCACTGACACAAGTAGCTTACATACCTAAGTATATTCAATATCAGCGTATAAATCTCGTACATCGGATGACTTCCTCCGACGCAGATTCATCTCAATAAACTTCGTGTCAATGTATGACAAACATACCAATGATTAGTAACTGCAGACGGGTATGAATACATTTTGTTTAATGCCTACACTGTAGTAATTATGTATGTACTATGTATGTACATTTGAAGCATGGCAGCTAGGGCGATATAGACTGCTCTTTATTACATAAGATTATGTTTTATATATTAAACATATTCGCACTATATGCGTAACTTGTAGATTTTATCATCTTTTTTAATTTCTCTCTCTGTTATATGACATTCTCGTTATTGTATGAATTTTAAAACGTTGTAACTTGTTAAGACTTACCTTTGATAATTAAATTTATTATAATACCCATACTCATAATTATTATTAATTAAACTGAGGTATATAAAAACAGCTGATATTGATTTTGTCATGAAATAATTTAATTGTCTTGTACGTGACAGCTATGAAAATTCATTTTCGCAGTTATCGTACTGCAAAATCAGTGGAACGTACATAGCCAGTTTAGCGAAACAAATTATATTAGTTAACGTCAACTGTCTAACTAGCATTGTACGTGTCAATTGCTATGAATACTTAATACTATTTAGCGTGTTACCAACTTCAAAACTTTGCTGTGGTCGTCTGCTGCCACCGTAAATAAATCATAGCTTTTGTTGCTAAAGTGTTTTAACAAACTTTGGGCACAGGGAGTATTATAGGTACGTTGTACAAAGTCATCTGCGTACCTTACTAACTTTAGTTTTAGGTTTACTCTCAGGGTACATCTGTATCACCTTTCTCAGCTGCCAGGCAGCTTACTTTTTAAGCTGGGTATTTTATAAATCTGTTTATAAGCCCTTTCCTTAAATAAAATTAAAAGGTACCTAAATATGATAGTTTATTTCGTAGTTGTTTTAGTCGGCGGCCACATGTGTATAGGTACTGTATATACAATGAGTAGCAGGGGAAATTATGTACGGGTAAATAGTATGTTATATGTAAAAAAACAATGTATTGCCTTCAAATTAGTTACTGATATTGTTTCCTTGTTTGTAATTCTGAACATTCTTTCTGTAACGCGGTCGGAGACCGATCGCCTCTCGAATGTGCAGCCGGAAAGTGAATGGCGTTGCATATTCGGCGTACGACCAATTCTTTTACTTTACCTTTGCAGTCTTTGGCCACGCCTTCTCTTCACTTGTAGTTCTTCACATTAATGAATATTTGAATGACGATATAAACATTCTTTCACAAATAGTTTCGTGTAACGTTTCATATAGCGAGAATAAGACGTCTAAATAACGCTATCTATCCACATGAGTGGTATCTATTCCACAGGAGTGGGTATGTAGAAGAGATATCACGGGCGCCATATGAGAACGGAATGCTGTTTATGTATATAGGCGACTGTCGTCATTTTACATCAGGAGGATCATCCATTTTTAGCATTCGTTTTATATTAGCATTGAAAACCCATACTATTTGACACAATATTACTTTTACTTTAAAACTAATTTTAGTTATGAAAATTGTTTAAACTTAAGATTTTATTACAAGTTTACAACTAACTGTTTGTCAGCTCTCATTCTCGTGTCGCTCAGAGACAAAAGTATGTAGTTGTTCATATTTAACCTTTAATGTTTTTTCATCTGGCGATATATAATCTATACGCATAACATAAACAGTTTCGATGCGACACAAACAAATCACTACCTATCTCGTTCTTTTGTTAGACATCCGTCCCTTGCTCGCACTATGTTTACAATTTCCTACGCTGACTCCAGTTGCATTCTCGTGCTGCGCGTGCGCACTCGTACATCTGTCATGGATCGTTGCGATCTATAGATCATTTCTCTCGTGTTATGTGTTTGTGATATAATAGCGTTGACAAAGAACTATTGAGAGCGTATGAACGTACAACAATGCGTTCTTTATGTGTTATATACGTGAATTTTTTATTGTTTTTATAACGGTTTGTTGATGGGTTCTTTGCTTTATTGTATAATTAACTATTTGTTATTGTAAATTAACGTTTTAATTACTCAAAACAATAATTTATGAAAAGCAACCAGCCAAACTATAGAATTCATGGTTTAGAATAATACCCCCTTATTGGGGAGAAGAGATTATTAGTAATAGGAACATGTAATCCAATAGCTAGCAACCTTAACAGGTTAATAATTTATTTCTTTAATGTAAAAAATGAAGCAAGCCTAGGCCTGCTTTGACTATATTAATAATTAACTGTGCCAGTGACTTCGTCCACGTGGAATTTAACTTTATTTTTCTAAAACAAAGAATTTTTCTAAAATAATAGTAGCCTAAGTTACTCCTTATTATATCAGCTACCTGCCAAAAAAAGTTCCCTAACAATCGGTCCATACATTTCAGAGATTAGCCGGAACAAATAGACAGACAGACAAAATTTGTAAAAAATGTTATTTTGGTGCATGTACTGTATTTATATTCATATGCATGTAGTAAAAAACGGTTATGTCGCTGTCCGTCCGTCCCTATGTATGCTTAAATCTTTAAAACTACGCAACGGATTTTGAATCCTTTTTTTAATAGATAGAGTAATTCAATAGGAAGCTTTATATATATAATACATGTACGCCCGTGCGAAGCCGGGGCGAGTAGCTCGTTTAAAATATTACAGATGCTTGTATGTTCACAACTGGCAGTCCCTCATCTAATTTATTAAATTCAATTCATACCTTATTACTTGCACCCTTGAGATGTCGACTTACTTGATGACAGTGTTCATACAATCTAAAGTTAATTACCTATAGGTACGTAGCACCTATCAAAAATGTTTTCTCTTATGTAAAACTAGCTGTGCCCGTGACTTTGCGTGATATTATGACCTTGATTAGATAATTAAAAAATATTAACTAATATAATAAACTAGCTACCCACCACGCCTTCACACGGGTGTACATGTATTATACATATAAACCTTCCTCTTGAATCACTCTATCTATTAAAAATCGCCTCAAAATCCGTTGCGTAGTTTTAAAGATTTAACCATACATAGGGACAGACAGTCATGGCGACTTTGTTTTAGACTATGTAATGATGATGCGAAAGTTTTTGGGTATGGATGGATGTTTGTTACTCTTTCACGCAAAAAATACTTAACTAATTTTCATGATACTTTAGAATAATATAGCTTATACATCAGAATAACACATAGGTTGTAATTTAAATGGATGTATTATGTAAATTGGGTGAAATGTAACTATAAATGTACACTAAACAACTAAATATAACAACTATATATATTATTATTTGTATATATTTATTTGCATTTCATATATATTATATAATATTAATTAGTAACCTTGTAATTGTTTTTTGACATAACTGCCCCACAACGCATTCTGTATACCTAAAGGTTAGCTGCTGGAGAATGCCATACGGCATTAAGCTCGCCTTTGTACAAGTTATATTGTGCATTAAAGAAAAATAAATATAAAATTAAAAAATAAATAAATCTCAAGTAACCTAAGTTGCGCGAAGTTGCGCGGGTCAGCTAGTATTTAATAATCTAACCCAATAAAAACCAAATAAAAAAAAATCTGATTAATTTTTTTATAAAAATGACGGATTTCCATACAAAATTCTATACAACTCAAGACTAAAAATAAGGTTCTAGCTTTTAACTTTGAAAATCATGTTACAACTATACAATCTTTCATCTCCCTCAACCCCTTACAATCTAGCTAAAAAATAAATTTCAAGTTTAAAATATTTAAAATTTTAGTAACCTTCGGATAAATAGTAGTCAACTTAAAAAAAAGGTATCATACTCAATAGATTAGTTTAGGAGACACTTCCGCAGACAGCTACACAGACGTATACAGACAGACACGTTTATTAGTTAGTTACGTTGTTTATAGAAAACATCTGTAAATATTTGTATCAGTTGTGTAGTACCCATAACAGAAGCTCAGATTAGCTTGAATCTAGATGACGCTATGTGAATTGTCTAGAGTTATTAACTGCACCGAGGAATCGAACCAGTGAACATAGGAAGTAAGGCGGTGTGCTCAACCACTGGACCACGGGGGTCGTCAATATTAGATCGGTCAATATAAAATAAACAATTTACAAATGGAATAGGTATTCAGTGACATTATTATTATCTCGAATGACCACAAAAACAATACAAATACTCTTATCATACGGTATACATGTTAAATTTAAACAATAATTAATAATATGGACTGATTTATTTACATCCAAAAGCATAAATATTTTATACGATTAAATATTTCAAATTCCTAAACTTGAATCGAGAACGTTGTGGCGTAGTGGTTAGCTACCTCGACTTGGACCGACATGTAGTGAGTTCGATTCTAGCTGACACAAAAATTATGTGAATTGATGACAGGAACAGTGTTAACAAACCAATTTAATCGAAAAGTTGGTGGTGGGCATATGAAGGCTTCAAACGCGATTTCAGATAGCGAGGCAGAATAGAAAATCCTTTATTCAAATAAACTTAAATTTAAGCTCTTTTTAATAGTCATGTTTATTTTTTAATGTACCGTTCAATTGGTAGTCAGTAGGTTCAAGCTGTCTCATCAGAAAAAAACGAGTGTGTTGCTCTTTTAAATCATTGTTGTAACTTTACATTTTTTCGTGTAAAAAGTCGTCTTCATTTTACCCCAAAAAAAAGGGTAAAGTTTTTAAATATTGAAAGATCAACTGAATCAGAGATTGCTCCGAACAAACATACAAACACACGATTTCTTAACACGACCCCATAACGGCAGTTAATATCATACATACACACGACACCGTCCTCGCCAGCGAAGACGACGACCCTAACCACACCATACCGCTCAATCAACCGGGTACCTCAACACCGGTGCCCTCAGTGTCCCCTTCGATCGATCCCCGTCCAATTCATACGAGGATGCCCTCAGTCTAAAGTCGTAACCGTCAGGCAGGACCGTTAACCGTCAACCGTCAACGGTTGGCCTTCAACCGTTCTATAAGTCCTTCCTTTGGCTTGGAGTGCCATCTGCACGCCCCCTATCGTCTGGTGAAGCTGTAAAAGCCAGCTGCAGCTAACAGCATTATATTAGTATAGTTTATTAGGTTTGTTATCCCTAAAATTAACTAAAACGTACAAATTGTGTTAGTACAAGTTTTAGATATATTAACCAGCATACGGTTGACACGGTGGCCCAGCAATGAGTTGATGTATCTTGACGCTAATACGCGTGGGTACCGGCCAGACAATGCCCCGTAATTAATACTTCCCATCCCACGGTTCATACACCCATTTCTTTCATCTTGTTAGAATTGCATTTGTATGTATTGAGGACTTATTACCTGTCATTTGTATCTGCCTGTACCGAAACGAGTAAAGGTAAATTGATTTGAATAGTGATGTAATATGAGAAAATGTTTGTTTATTATTATCAAGTCTAAGCGGAATAAAAAATTAATTTTATTTATTTAATCCGATTAGTCTAGATTTTAACTTACAATGAACACAGATGAAACTGCACAATTAACACAGCGCCATCTAGTCCCACGATAAACAGAGCTTGTGTTATGGGTACTAGACAACTGATATAAATACTTTTTTTTTGTAAGTAAATACATATATAATGTACATAGTACATGTGAATACAAATGTTTGTGCCATGCGAGGAATCGAACGCATGACCATCGGAAGTAACTGATCACTGCTGATGGAAACTTCATGGGTTATTATTATTAATCATAAAATTTTAGGAAAGGCTGCGCGTTCAGACATCCTATATAAGTAGCACCCGTTCACTAGTATGATAAATGTGCTCAGTATGCCAGCCTGTTACGGCACCATATTTTAATGATCATAGCTGAATCATGCCATCCGATCACGTCATAACTACTGTTTGCTATGTTGTGGTTACATAGTATATTAATTAGTCAGACGTTCCATAATACATAATATATATATATGTATAATAACCCTGAACAATTCACACAGTGCCACCCAGTCCCAAGATATAAGCAGAGCTTGTATTATGGGTATATATGAAACAGTAGTGTAGTAACTTTCAACCAAAAAGTCGTGAGATCAAATCTGGCCAACATAAATTTCCTGCTCAATTTGTCACCATGGGCTAACTGAACTGAACTCATTCTCCACTGGTACCAGGGCAGCGTATACCTACCATAAGTGCAGCTAGGAGTACCATTCCATTATCATCAAGTTAAAAAAATATATAATCCTGACTGACTCTCTGGTGAAGCAAACACCGACAACAAAATCAAAAATTAATCTTAGAGACGACAGGCTCCCTGGATTTAAATATATCCGAATATATAAGTGAAATAGGTACATGTCAAGTGTTGTGTTTCGAAATGACGTGGTCAATAACAGCGCCTCTGATTACACCATTTGGGATGACAGTCGTGATATATGTTGTGTATAGACCAGTGTTTCCCAAACTTTAAAATGCCTTAGCCATTCTAAATTCAAATTCAAAAATCATTTATTCATGTAGGACATTTTAGCCGCTTATGAACGTCAAGTTTTTTACATTATAATTTTTTTTCCTACCGTCCAGTTCGGTATATAGATCCAATTGAGAAGAAATTGAGAAGAACTACCCCATATAACATTAAATATTTAATTGTTCACTTGAGTAACTTAATTAATAGGGTTTTCTGCTGTTTCAAAACGCAGCTGAAATCAATATGGTAATAATAATGTCAGAGAAACATAAAGGAAAAAAATAAAATAATAGGTTTTAGGAGGAAATAACTACGAAATCGTTTTTAAATCATGTAATGGAAAATTGAACTTCACATTTCATATATTTTTAATAAAGACCATTTTCCAATGCCCATCTGTGTAGCGTGGGCCCCACGTTGGGAAACACTAGTATATACAATAGTTATACAATTAACTGACTCTCATTTGTGGTTAACAAACCACTAACATATCTGGTTGGTGCTGTCAAA